AGACAGAGGGAAAGCCGCCCCTTTGCACACGGTACTGCCTGCCTGCTACTGGAAGGCAATTTGGTTGTGGACTCGGTGTGTGTGAGGTGTGTGTGTGTGTGTGCGTGCATTTCCTGGCCTGTCCCACCAGTCCGCAGTGGCTTCAGCCTTCGGAACCTCTCATCGAATGAAGGCATCACTAGGCGCCTCGCCAGAGGCCAGGCAGGCGCTGAGCCCCCAGCAGGGCCCTCTGTGTGTCCACGCAGGGACAGCCGGGTCCAGCTTGGCTGCACACTGACACTTCTCCATGGTGTGAACACTGGGGGTTTTGAGTGTGTGAGGCTGGAGTGAAGAAAGGGGAAAGGCAGGGAGGACCACAGAAGCAGGGAATTGATGTCCTGTGTCTACACAGCATGCAGTTAGATCAGTATCGGCAAGAACTGCGCCCCTGATACGGCGGCAGCCCAGCCGAGCCCGTAGTGATTCCCCCACGGACTCACAAGATGCGGGTTCCTCTCTCTCCTGTTTCGCTTTTATTATTTTTTAATAAGCTCCATTATAATGGCAACAGACCTCATTTCACCCGTTGTATTTCATTTCAGAAGCTTGTGAGCAGGGGAGGGCTGAGGATTTGGAGAATTCCACCCCTGGGTTGGGAACTAAGTTCTTCCTCCTCCCAAAGCACTTGGCCTTTTCCTCCGAGGGTCACGGACAGATAGGGACGGATGAGGAGAACCATTCCCAAGGACGGTGTTCTATGCGGAAGGAGCTGGGTCACATTCTGGCAAGACCCACGCTGCAGCGATGGCCCTTCCTGTGGGGCATCTGCAAAACAGCAATGAGGGGCCGCAGTGGGAACAGCCCACATGTTCCAGCCAAAGCCCAGTTTTTGACTTATGTAAACTCTCCTTGAACTTGACTTCGAGAGGCATGTGTGTTGCATGAAAGCCCCCTGTACACAAGCAGGAACAATTGGAAGAAGCTATTTGGCTGGGCACTAGGAGATGGACTTATTTCCTTGCTCCAGTCCCTAACTCCTCAGCACACCTGGCCTGGGGCTTCTGGGTAGGAGGTGAGGCTGCGGCTGGCTGGCGGAGGGTGCAGGGAGGTGAGGCATTCACAGGCTGCACCCCTGCCCTGGTCCTCAGGGGGAGGAGAACCATGCCTTCCTCTGCAGTGTCCCTGTTGAGAGCCCCTCCCCATCCCTGTGACCCCTGCCTCTGCACCTGGCACCTCAGGCAGAGCTGGTAAAGCCAGGTGCGCATTCAAAGTCTCCAGGGTGAAGGCAGAGTGAATGCACGTCCGTGTCCCCTTTTATGGAGCTGGACGTGCCGTGGGTAAAGACCACGCAGAGGGTTGGCAAAGTCTGCAGGTTTGATCACGGCAGCCCTGTGTGTGCCTGTGGGCCTCTCCCAATCCTCTGGACAACATGAGCCTGAATGCCACTGATGAACGTGGGCGCTCCCCTCCTCCTGGCCGCATCAGGCAGCCTGTGGGCTCTGAAGAGCAGCTCTGCCTCACCCCCCACCTTTTAATACTCTGGAAGCTCACAGCCTGAATAGTCCTGGCAAGCCACCAATCCGATGTGCAGCTCCCTCCTCTATTCCCTTCTGCCACAGGGAAGTGACTGCTCCAGGAAATGCCAGTTTGGAGGTCTGAAAGGAATGGCTCCACCGAACACTGACCATGGGGGCCACAGCACCAGGTGCCATCAGCTTCCTGCATCCACCTGCCAGGCCACCGAACCCAGAGACTTAATCCGGTGCTAATCGAGGTGTTGCTGTGAAGGAATTTCATAGGCGTGGCTAACATCTATGATCTACTCGTGTTCAGTAAAGGTGATTAACCGTGACACTGTGGGTGAGCCTCATCTCATCAGCTGAAGGCCTAAAGAGCAACGTCTGAGGTTTCCCTGAGGATGAAGGAATTCTGCCTTAAGACTGCAGCGTGGCCCCCGGCCTGAGTTTCCAGCTTGCCGGCATGCCCTGCAGACCTCAGCCTTCACAACCTCCACAACTGCGCGAGTTGATTCCTGACAATAAATCTCTTATTTAACTACGTAAGCTCTCGGTTGTTTCTCTGGAGAATCTGGACGGACACAGCGGGCCAGGCCCCACGCCCAACTCCAGCAGACACGCTGAGCTCTGGTATAGATGGGCACAGCACTGCATCCTCATCTACAAAGAGAAGTAACACACTCCACGCTCCGGTCTCCCCAGATCGTTCTCGGGGGGAGGGGAGCAATGACACTTGGCGACCAGCTGACATCTGGATCATAGCTCAATTCCACCCAGTTTGGGAGGTTCCTGAAGTGAGTGTGCTCCCTGCCCCCTCTTTCACACCAGGCCTGCCATTTTCCAGCAAGGAAGCATATGATGGGCCTGGACCAAAGGTAGACGGAGTCAGCCAAGTTGTCTTCATGAACAGGCTCTGCCAGGCTGACAGCCTGACGAGGAGGAGGTGTGATTGAGTCCCTTGGGTACCCACCACCAAAACCCATCACAGTTCACTTCAAAAACTGGAATTGCCTTTAAATATTCTATAACGGGGCATCCTGAGCAATCCTAGAATTCTGTGAGGGCCTGAGAAGGGACTATACCAAAGTCTCCATTGTTTCCTTACAAGAAAAATGTCCAGTTGCTCCACAAATGATTTCATTTCCCAGGAAAGAGACCCTCAGCTGAGCTCTGTCTCTGTACCAGCCTAAGTGAGAAACCACCAAGGGCCCTTCCCAGGTCTGGGGCTGAGGAACACGGGACAAGCTGCCTGGGAGTCTGTGTCTTTCTTGGGGACCAGAGCCCCTTGGTCAGACTCATGGTTGCCCCGAGTCGCCATCCGGAGTCCCTGGGATAAGCCCTCAGTCTGGGAAGGCTGCCCCACAGCCTGGCCAGCTGCGCGGGAGGTTGCCAGCTGCGGGAGGCGGGCACAGGCCCACGGCAAAGGAGCCGGCGCTCACACTTCTCTCCAAGGCAGCAGGCCCCCTCCCCTCGCCTTCTCCTTCCTAAATTCAGGATTAGCACAGTGAGAACAAGAGAAAGTTTTGTTTCTGCAACACTGTTCTCACCTCCTCACTGAGCTTCCTCTCTGAGGCTAAATCCAGGCTGGCCTTCCTCGGGCTGGCCCGCGGCCAGGGCACGGCTCACTCGGCTGCTGCCAGCTGGAAATCACCTCAGTGCCCTTTGCCCGAAGTGAGCGCGCGCTCTCTCTCTCTTTCCTTCTCTCTCTCTCTTTCTCCTCTCTTCCTCCTTCCCTCCCTCTCCCCTCTCTCTCCTTCTCTCTCTCACTCTGTCTCTCCTTCCTTCTCTCTCTCCTCTCTCTCACACTCACACACCCCGACATATTTCCTGCAGGTCGACACTAGCATTAGAAGAAGAAAGCTTCAGTAATGCCTCTTGTCCTTAGGGTTCCCACCATGACTATCCTGGCGTATATGGGATCACATGACTCCATCAAAACTAGAACCCATTCAGTGATTCCAGGGTTAGCCACACAACTAATTATGCTTCTACATAAACACTGCTGCATTCTTTAAACCATGATTACACTGCATTCTTCTAAGTCTCAGAAATATATACAGTTAATGATCTGTGGAAACACTCTATTCGATGGATAGACAGGATTTACTTGTTAGGTATTTACATGCAATGAATAACTACCTGGGACTCTGGTGTCCAGGGCCCTAGGGTTGCATTTTCTACTGGGGTCCTTTCAGAAGTCTGGGAATTAATCTCTTGATGAGGTCCAAGATGGACTTGCTTTGGCTTAAATTCCACTGAAAAGGACCCATGTCATAGCAATATTCAGCATCGGAGTTATCATTCCCAGTTTCAATTAGAAACCAGATGCACAGAAGCAAACTGACTTCTCAGAGTTGAGGAAAGTGAGGCATATCCCGTCTCCTTGTTTAGCATGTCCAGCATCACTGGTGACGCTCCCCCTAATGTGCTGTGACTTGGCACCTTCATCAGTGCTGCACTTAGAAGTTGACGCAATGGTTTCCAGCACTTATAAAACATGACACTTATAAAAAAAATGTATTGCGCATTAAGACATATATATGTAGCCAAAAGGGTCTATTACAGCTGCAACAGAGTGGAAAATGCACTGGGTGTGGAGTTTGAATCCAGATTCTGAGCCCCTTTAAGTGAGCTTAAGTTTCCTCATCCATCAAATGGGGACAGGCACCCTTCACAGGACTGCTTGGAGTATTCACAGGGCATTGGGTATAAAAGAGCTTTGTACAGGGTACAGCACTAGAAAGTGTGAGCTATTTTTATGACTCGACATCAGATCATGCACCATTTAAAAGAAATTCTCCTTTCTTCGTCCTGAAATTTTTTATTCTTCTTCCTGAATACGTACGGGGCGGTATATCATTCATGGGAACCAACTTCACTGTTCAAAACTGCATCCAGTGAAATGCCTTCGAGGGCCAGGGGTCATGCTGCGTTTGAAGCTGCATCCTCTGTGACAACAGCAGCATTGTGACAAACTCAGAAAAGGGAATGATTACGGGCAACACAGGAGCCTGGCCCGGCTGAAGGGTGAGTAAAGAGCAAAGATGAGAAGAGCTGCGCGCAGTAAGGGAAAGGGGTGGAGGACGGAAGACAAAGTGGATCTATCAGCAAAGCCATGTGGCTTGGACATATGTGACGCTGCCAGGCCACTAGCTGACACTCGCCCGCCATAAAAATATAAGACAGCATTAGTTTCCAGACAAGAAAAACCTCAGAGATGAATTCTGCCATATGTGTGCATGACGCCCCTCCCCCAAGTGCCCTCACACCTGGAAAATTGAACACCACGTCTTCAAAGCGAGTTCTCGGCAAACGTACCACCGGTTTTTACAACCTCTCTCCCCAACGCAAACCACTGGAGACCACATCTTCTCAGACTGCCCAATATTACTGGGCAGTGGCCTCACTTTCTGAAAGGATGTTTGGAGAAGCACGCCTAGTTTCCACGTGGCCTTTACAAGGGACAGGAATACCAGGACAATCACGAGTCGGCGATCCCCTTACCTTGAGCCGTTCACCTGGTTGGGGTTACATTCCATCTTGATAGTGACCCTGGCTGGGGGTTGAGACAGCCAGTCCTGCTGAGGGACACGTGGGCTCATCTTGGATGTCTGTCCATAGTCGCCAGAGGAGGATGCGGTCATGTCCGTCTTGGCCAGGTGTGGCGTTCCGTAGGCACACTCAAACAATGACTGGTCCTCACTCACAACCGATAGCGCTTCCTGGACGCCCAAAGAAACACAATTCAGGACACTCGGAGGGACAGGCATGTCTCAGAAAACTGCTGACTTTACAGTCATTTCTAACGGGTACCACGGTTTATTTAGGTCATTTTATGGCCTCCATTTCAACCTTTCAGAAGAAAAACACGTAGCTGGTTTTCTTGCCTCCAGACCATAAGGGATGGAGCTGGCCGGCTTAGGGGAGCTTTTACGCAGGTCTCCAAACACCCCAGGCTTGACTGGAGCAGGGAGATAATACTCACTTTAATCTCAACTCGAGGAAGTTGAATTTCAAAGGTCTTAGAAGACATACAATTGCACGTGTCATTATTTGACACATGAAATTTATAATTCAAGCAGATGGGGTACAGAATGGCCATGAAGATTAAAAAAAGAAATTTGACGGCTCACACCTACACATCTGGTGAAATCGCCACATTCCCGGGAGATTTCAAGGAAGAGGTACTTAGAGGAAGAGTGAGGGGAAAATGGGGCACCAAAGGACAAACATACACAGACACGAGTTTTTCCACTTCTAAGTTATGAGCCGAAATAGAGTTTCAAGTGGTGCTTCCATGATGGTGAACATCTGGATGATAAATGAAATAGCAACAAAAAAATGCTGTGAATTATCCAGATGTCTTCAAATACCAGGATGTTTAAAATATCTGGATCACTAAGTAGCTCGTACCCCCGCCTCCTTTACTTTCTTTGACATCTTTGCTCTTTTGCTTGATTTTTGTAAGCAGAACTAGAAATATGTCACTGGTGTTTCCTTCTTCTGTGCTTTTAAGTCTAATGAGTGGCTAACCTATCTATGGCTCTGCTTATATCCTCCTGCCAATTCAGCAAAGGCCAATTTGATCTGGAAATAGCAACGATGTGAATGATATACTACTGTGCAGCAACTACACAGAGTAGCTATGAGACCATCCAATTTTGTTTTCTATAACAGAAAAAAAATCCACGTGAAAGCTCAGTTTTATTTCAGCATTGCTATCAATGAGGAAAAAGCAAAGGCTGACTGGGTCACACATTTTTAAAAAATTGAAACTTTGGAGCCAGCGGGGGACTGTGGAGATCGTCTAGTCCGAAGTTCCCCAAATGAGAAAATCTGAGACCCAGAAAGGTCCAGACCTTGACATGAGCTGCTCAAGGTCAACAGGGAATCAGTGATGGAACAGACCTGTGCTTGATCATTTGTTCCCTCGGCCCCGCATCCTACGAAGCCCTTCTTACATTTCCTGGCTGGGGATAGGTGTTTACATTCATACTCCCTTCCTATTCTTTGAGTTGACAGTTAAATAAATAACGATGCTTCTGTTAGTAACAGAGCCTTATGAAGCAGCCTTTCTAAGATGGAGACCTCCCTCTCTTCCCAGTAGTATCAGAATCTTTAGGGAACATACGCGGTTTTGTACCCAGCCCAGGGTGTACTCGGCCACTCCATCCCCCACGGCCCCAAGGGCCAACTCCTTTCACAGCTTCCCAAGTATAACACATGGACTTCATTGCCTGACACGCCGTGCAGCGTATCCGTGAGGGGGGAGAACGACGAAGGACAAACTCCACGCTTTGGCTCTCAGAGTGGCGGCCACGTGTCTGTGCATATATAACACCCCACCACCGCTGACTTCTTTAAAATTCCTAGAATCACAGCCCTGTGATACTCTGGGGAAGAGTTAGCTGGGAGTTTAAACAGTAACACAAAGCATACAAAAGGACAGGTTGTGCCGGCCAGAGAACCAGAATAAGGTACAAGAAAGAAAAATGAAAAAAGAAATAAATAAAGGGAAATATCTTGAATACACAGTAACATACACAGACAGCACCAAAGGAGGCAGCAGCTCAGACGCGCAGTGTGTGCAAACAGGCGAGGTAGGTGCCGGGGGAGCCCGAGTGACATGGCTCTCTCTTCTGGTCACAAATGGAGGGAAGGAAACTACGAAATCTAAACTCACAGATGACGGTTTAAAAGAACCAACACCATGAACTTGGCATCATTGTGCTAATTAATAAAGACAAAAACGATAGCTTCTTAAATCATTTTTGCAAGACGGAGTATCTTTTCTGGTAGCAGCAATGGCCAGAAGGGTTTTACACACTGAAAACAGGAAGCAAGGCGGATGGCTGCCCCCTGCGCTCCTGGGCCCTGCAGGCTCCGCCAAGGCTCCAGGGGAATAACATACTATGTAATGTTAGCGTTGGCTCACCCACGAAGAGAAACATGAAAAAACGTGTGATGTGTATCAGAAATCGGCAGGAACAGGTTAGATATATAAGGAACAGGCTAATTTTTAACTTACAAACAAAAAAGAAAGTGGCTTCCACAACACAAAGAGTAACAATGTTACAGTATTAATAGCTCTCCAAGATAAAGTAGGATAGTCTTGCAAACACATCCAATGACCAAACAAACACGGTGTAAGATTTTAAAAGTGGACCGAAACATTAGGACCAAGACAAGGCCACCGTGTGTGTCTGGAGCAGGAGGAGCCTATTCTCACATCTGGCAGAGCATTACTTCAGCACATGCTTTCTAAAGAAAGGAATCAAAGTTAATTGAGATCGATTTAGAAAAAAAAAGTTCCAAAAGCTGGAGAAACACACCTTTTCTTTGTATCTTAATAGCCTCCTCAAAGTTAGTATCACATAAAAGTGAGAACGGTGATAGGATTCAGCATATCAAAAGTTGCTTTTGTTCGCTGGAGGAGAAACAGGGTAAAAATGAGGAAGCTTCAGGATAAACCTTTCAAAAGGAGTGAAACACAGTCGGCATCCTAGGAAGACACAGCAGTCAGAAAGCCGGCCTCAAAGGTGACCCTAACTAACCTAAGAGTGCTAAACCCCTGGAATGAAGTACAGGTCAGGAAAAGGAAACCAACAGAGAAGCAAAATCACACACGCAGACATGCTTTGACAATGGGGGCATAAAACGAGGCTGAAGGGAAGGCTTTCCTAGACCTGCTTCACAAGGACGGTCAGTAAGATGAACTGCCTGTCATGACAGGAGAGTACACAGCATCGCTACACGGGGACCATCAGCCTGCGTTTGCTCGCCCACTGACTTGGCCAAGTTACACGCAGGCTTCATCAGCCCTCTGCCTCGCTGTGCATGACAAAGGCTGCTGCTGAGGACCTTCCCGACTTCAAAGCCCAGAGAGGATCTAGGCAGGAGGATTAAAACCAGGATGGAGCTCTGAACACAGGCGAGTACCCGGGAACACCCGAGTTCCCCAATTCCAGCTCCACAAGTGACTTTCCCTGGCCTTGACTGGCACTGTCTCTGCTTCCCTGTCTGCCTGCCACCTGGCGTCCCTCCTCGTGGGAGGCCATCTTGCCTACCTAGCTGCCTACCTGCCAAACCTTTGCAGGATATTAGTTAACCTGTACAGGATATTCTCCCAGCGCCTCCGGCCAGCCGCGGGACTTGGGAACTGCTCTGGCTGCTGTATGACAGAGAACTCCAAAAAGGCAGAACCTGGAAGAAATGGGGTCTAACAATTTAACATGCCTGCCTCTGTGCTGCTATAAAAAGAGCTAAACTTTAGACTGGTGTGTGGGGGTGTGGGGGTGCTTTTTTCTGTAGCTCCAGGAAAACGGAGGCTCGTCTGATGTGGCAAGTGGCAGACGACCAACGCCGTTTTTTATGAACGTATAAGAAACACATAAATTCTAAGCAATCTATCCCCAAATAAAAGGGGCTGCTGTGCCACGTGCAGTGTTTACTATTTCGTTTGAACACTGACACAGCAACAGCACATGAGGACCGGTCCTTCGGACTTCGGTCACGCGATAACGGTTGCCCGCTCATTACAGAAAGTGATGACTAAAACGAGATTCTGTTCCGTACCTGGGACTAAAATACGCTTCTGTTTCTAAATAACTAGATTTGGGTACAACAAAGGGTCCAGCATGCTGAGACTAAAAACTAAAAAAAGGAAGAAAAGAAAAGAAGTCAATTGCACTTTGTACACAAACTGCCATTTCCAGCAACAGGGCCCCCTTTTGGTAACAGATGAATATGTTGGGAGACTCCTTTATTTCACGTAAAAGCACTAGGAAACGAGGGTGTGGGCTCAGCTTTGCCTCTAATGTGTGCCTGATGGCTCAGAAACACAATGTAATGTGAATACACAGACTACAACATGCTTAAATTTTCATGAAAATCCAGGCGTGGTGAAGTGTTGAAACCGAGAACCTTAAAGAATGATGACTCTCTTTCACAGCTGGAGTGCGTGAAGGAGACAGAGGGACGTGATGCTTACGGGGTTTTCAAACAGTCAGAGGACAGCCAGATGGAGAGGTCCAGAGTGCTGGACTCCCAAATCGACCTCCTGTTTCCTCAAGCCTGTGTGCCTCCAATAATGGAGAGAAACAAATGGGAAAGGGAAGCAGAACACGCTTGCTAAGGTTCTGGGCGCGCTGCGGCACAAAAATCCTAACATGGGTCCTTGCACGGACAACACGGTGCCCACTTCAGAAAGCCAGCGTCACCTAAAACCAAGAGCCTGCCTTTTCTTGTCAGTTCTCATCGCATTACAACCCAATGCGAAGTTCTTCCTTCCATTTCTTTCTCTCGCCTGTAGCCAAGCAGAACTTGGTACCTCACAGAGCTCCTTGCACTGTGATCCATAAGAGATTTTAGCCACTTTCTCTGGACTCCTAAACAGCTGACCCAACACATAATAAACCAGGTTGCCTTGTGAAGCACTTTGCATGCAGGATCTTTTTAAAGCCTATTTCACTGATTTTAAGATGCCCCATTTTCCACATTTTACCCACGCTGAAACCTTGCTTCTTTTTTTGTTGTTTTGTTTTTCTTTTTTGAAACCATGCATCTTATGTCTTGCACCCCCGCATCTTACAATCAGGGGCGTGCCCCCGTTTATTGGCAGCTTTTCTTCTTCCTGACGACAGATAAAATAACTAAAGTAACGGTTCATTTTATAACCAATGACATCTCAGAATGTATGAACTAGGGTCGCTCAGCCTGACGA